GGAATAAAACAAAACAGCAATGGAAAGACTATGATGTGTCCAGCTTTTCAAAGTGTGACATAGAAAACAAGTCAGCTAAAATCATCAAATAGCTCCTCACTTTATAAAGGGATAGTAGACAAATGCTGCTCAATTACTGGTAGCTGAACTGGAACCTATTCAAAAGGCTCCTATTAAAAATAAGCGTTTGGTAAGGTGTCACCTCAAATGCAAAAGCCCATTAGACTGTTGTTAAACTAGGAAAGTGCAAAAAAATCGATGGTATAATAATATATGAATAGTTGCATCAAATGGATAAGCTGATCGTGACGTTTGCCGGAAATTATAACGTTAAAAAGGTAGATATAATCACTTGTTAGACATATACATTCAGAAGCAAAGTTAACTTCATACTATCAAGCCAATTTGGTATCTTTTCACAGAGAATACTACTATAAATGAAAACTTAACTTTGAATAAACGTTTATGGCGCGAAATTGGCTCTTAGTAAATTAGCAGATAAGAAGGCGTTCAAACTAAATTCAGTGTAAAAATTAAACTTAGAGTACAGGAATATAAATACCCAATCACGATCCTCCCGGCTTAGTTGCCGACATCCATCAAGCGGAGTGCCTTCAGCGAACTCAGTGGTGAGAACTCGTTGAGTAGTAAGCTCATCGATTATCTTCGGCACATAATATACCGGATCGTCAGCCAACAAGCGACCAAAAAGACGATTATACTCGGCTTCACGAAGGTAATCACATTCCCAGGCTAATTCACGACGAGCCACGTCAACAGTATGTTCAGCAAAAAGGCCTCTTGGTAAAAGATTAAACCGAGAAAGAAGTACCATCAAGTTGTTTATATCAGAGTCAATGCTTTCAGCTACACCAGGATACTGAATCTTCATCGCATAAGGTCTAAAAATATTGATAAAACAAATGTTCATAATTCGATGTATATTGAAATTAACAAAGTCAAGCAAAGAAAACGGGTGGTTTTATTATTAACGAAGCAATAAAGAAGTTTGAATAAAAGTATCCAGTCAAAATCAGTTCAATCAAACTGTTAATAGTCACACAAAAGTAGGAAAAACAAATGAGAATAGTGTAACAAATAAGTGAATACCTTCCATCAAAAAGAAGACCCTTGTGGACCTGACCAATGCTGGCGGCAGCAAACGGCTTTTCTTCGAAGGTCTTCAACTTAGCGCGCCAGTTTTCTCCTAATTCGTTTTCAAGAACAGATAACATTTGTTGAGCGGGCATGAAATCGGCAGATTGGCGTACCCGTTCGAATATCCTTTGCACCTCAGAATTGATAAGAGAATTATCTATAATAAGTTGAGATAAACATGCAATAATGGTGTATCCTAGGTGTAGAAAATTGACGAACTTAATACTAACGGTGGTACTTCCGCAAGGTGTGAAGTTACCTTGAATACTGAGCATTTGTCCAACTTTTAACGCAGCCCCACGCATTCGACATAGGGTATCGACGATTCTCTCAAGATTGGCCTCGGTAAAGAAAGGATTCTCTCTTGAAGCAGTGCCAGATATATCTTTGCTTGATGAAGCAACTGAACGAGGAGATTTCAATCCTGTCAGGGAGATGCAACAAAAGTCATACTCGTTGATCCAACAGTTCTTCTAAATACCTCAGCTAATGCCCCTAATCCCAATCCAAAAGCTAAATCTAAGAATCAAGGATTTTATAAATGTAGGTGATTTACTTCCAAAGCCAGCAATACGTGTAATTCTAGAAGAAGGAACTTTGCGTTCCCTGGAGATATTTTGTCGCTAAAATATAATAAAGATAAAGTTACGTGGGGAGCCAATTTATCGAAGTCTTTTATCACTCTTGGTTGGGGGGACTTGTATGACATCTTAAAAGGCAAACTTTTATCGTCTGGTTGAGGCCATATTTCACTTTTGTCCCCACTAGGTGCTCCTCCATTCTCACAAACATTGATCTCGGGATTCAGGGTGCTACTTATATCTAATAAAATCGAACGAGATAATATCAAAAATTGTCCGATGAAAATTTTTGGAGCATTTGGAGCAATTTTATTTCCTTTAACTAGGATATCCCTGAATGAATAGTCCGAATTAGAGCATAGAGAAGAAAGTGAACTTCTAAGTTCTGTAAGATTTTCCCTCTGATGGTTTAATGAGGCAAACGCTATTGAGCGAAACCCCCTGACTAAACGAGCTAGATCTTCAATTCGGTGACCCATTCGCAAAGATGTAAGGAGGAAATCAAAAAAAGCTCCATTAATATAACAACAAGCAATCAAAAAGAAAAAAAACAACAATAAAATAAAAAAATATTTAATATAAAATAAATAAAACTTAAAAAAACACAATAGTTTTTTAGGGAATATTACTATGGTTATTTTTACGAGCGGCAATGGAATATGTTGGTAGTTGCTACAGTGGTGAATATAAAAATGAAAGGTATGCTAAATTTGATATAATTTAAAAGAATGGAAGGCTTTGGAAAGTATAAATTACCAACAGACACTCAGTATGAAGGATCAATGAAGGATGGAATGTTTCATGGCCATGGCACACTATATTTTCCAGAAGGCAATAAATATGTTGCTGAATGGGACAAAGGAAAACCCTATAATGTAGAAAAACAATTATTTAATATATAAGGGAAAATTTATTTTTGCAGATGGCCTTGAGTTTAACGATACAACCTGGGATTATTGCAATCGCTTTGATAGACGATTTTATACGGAGATATGTAATGGTATAAAGCCTGCTGGTACGTTGTTTTAAAATATTTTACATAAAAACTAGTCTTTTTGTCTTTATTTTGCATGTATATTACACTATTTAAGCTTTTCTGTGTGAGTATCACATTCTATGTATTGATTATATAAAAACAACTATTCTAAAATGAAAGCTGTTTTATGCCCTGATATATCTATATTTATAATTAAATTATACAATTTGGCTTTTTTAAATGTTTTACGATTAAATAGAATTTTTAAAACTGAAAAATTAAATATTGACTCATTTTAATTATACACTTTAGATTGACCTATTAATAAAACATATATAAAAGCTTATTTTACATCATTAAGCAGCTTTAATTGTATTTATTTCAGTATCTACTTATGTTATTTAGGAAAGTTACAATGTTATCATGATAATATAATTATATTTGAAAATATTCGTGTGTAAATATAGGTTTGAACATAATTTAACACATTTTGTGCATTAAACTTTAATCTCTATTTGACATCTAGTTTCACTTAAAATACTAGTATATGCTGTAGATGCTTTTTTAAATATTCATAAAAAGTAATTCGCCATAAACAACGTAAAGCCTAATAA